GGCTAGCCTCAACTCACAGATACTTACTTTTGCCTCCTGGGTGCTAGGATTAAAGGAGTATGTTGCCATGCCCAGCTTTAACTCAATGTGTAGACCAGGCTGGTCTTCACACTAAAGGAGATCCTGCTTACCTCTGCTTCCCAAGCACTGGAATTAAAGTTGTGTTATACCGCCGGGCAGGTGGTGGCGCACGCCTCTAATCCCAGCACTCGGGAGGCAGAGGGGGGCGGATCCCTGAGTTCGACACCAGCCTGGGCTACCAAGTGAGTTCCAGGAAAGGCGCAAAGCTACACAGAGAAACCCTGTCTCAAAAAACAAAAAAAAAGTTGTGTTATGCCAGGCCTTTTTGGGGAAGATAACTCAGTATGTAAATCAGGTTGGTCTCAAACTCAGGTTTGTCTGCCTTTGCCTCCTGAGACCTGGGATTATGTCCATCCTCTTCTTTCAAGGAGATCGGTCTCACTATAGAGACAAGTCTGACTTTGAATTCACTATATGCAGCTCAAGCTTGCCTTGAACTTATCATCATCATCATCCATTTTCCTGGGCGCTGATAATGTAATTAGACAGGGTTTTTCTGTGTAGCTTTGCACCTTTCCTGGAACTCACTTGGTTGCCCAGGCTGGCCTTGAACTCACAGAGATCGCCTGGCTCTGCCTCCCCAGTGCAGGGATTAAAGGCATGTGCCACCACCGCCCGGCGTAATTAGCTTTTTTAACAGGGAGATAACTGTTGTTGTTTTGTTGTGTCTGGGTGTCATTACTCTGAGCCATCAGGACCTTGTTTATTTGGGTATGGTTTGTTGGCAGGGAGAAAGTTAACCAGGATATAGTAAAGAGATTCTCCACAAGCTTGTATATATCCATTGTGATGGATAGTGGGGTCATCTGGGAGCAAAAAGCTCCATTGTTGATTTAGGTCTTCTCAGTAGGTGGGTCAAGGTTGTGGGATGAGCTGGAAATGGGGTCACAAGGGTTTTGTCTGCCACTTGAGTTGGAGATTACTAAGGGCATGATTCCGATTTCCCAGGGCCTGCTAAGACTCCTGATGGTGAACGCACAGTCTATTGTAATGTGCACAAGCATGAACCCCTTGTACTGTTTTGTGAGAGCTGTGATACTCTGACCTGCCGGGACTGCCAGCTCAACGCTCACAAGGACCATCAGTGAGTCTCAAGTCACAGTGGGTAGGTGGATGCCACCACTTCCCAATTGAGCATGTAGGCTCACTTTTTTGTGTGGTTTTAGGTACCAGTTCTTGGAAGATGCAGTGAGGAACCAACGTAAACTCTTGGCTTCTCTGGTGAAACGTCTTGGGGACAAACATGCCACACTGCAGAAAAACACCAAGGAGGTTCGCAGCTCGTAAGTGAGGGTGCCAGGGCTATTGGGGTCCCAGGGTAAGGGTCCCTGGCTTGACTTGTCTTGTCCATTAGGATCCGCCAGGTGTCTGATGTGCAGAAGCGTGTGCAGGTTGATGTCAAGATGGCCATTCTGCAGATCATGAAGGAGTTGAATAAACGGGGCCGGGTTCTGGTCAATGATGCCCAGGTAAATCTTATATTGTAAGCATGACACCATCCAGGGCAGAGAATGATCCTAGTACTCACTGCTTTGCCGTCTTCCTGACCCTGTTCTCCTTGATCTGCAGAAAGTGACGGAGGGGCAGCAGGAGCGTCTGGAGCGCCAGCACTGGACCATGACCAAAATCCAGAAGCATCAGGAACACATTTTGCGATTTGCCTCTTGGGCTCTGGAAAGTGATAACAATACAGCCCTCTTGCTTTCTAAGAAGCTGGTGTGTAGTGGTGGGCTTTATTCAGCTAGATGGCCATTCAACATCTTTGGGACCCTGTAAGTTAGCAAGTGAGCTCATATGCTACCTTTTTGCCCCATTAGATCTATTTCCAGCTGCATCGTGCTCTCAAAATGATTGTGGATCCTGTGGAGCCTCATGGTGAGATGAAGTTTCAGTGGGATCTCAATGCCTGGACCAAGAGTGCTGAGGCTTTTGGTAGGTTGTGTATTTAGTCTTTTGCTTGACCTGGGGAGCATCCTAGGCAATACTGCACCTACTGAAGATTCTCTCTTCTTCAGGCAAGATTGTGGCTGAGCGTCCTGGTACGAACTCCACAGGTCCTGGGCCCATGGCTCCTCCAAGAGCGCCAGGGCCCCTAAACAAGCAAGGGTCTGGCAGTAGCCAGGTGAGCTGGGGAGAGGAGCCAAGAAAGGGGTGAGGGCCATAGGATGCGTGGAGTACTTGCCCCACTTAATGAGCACATTCTCTGTTCTGTCTCTAGCCCATGGAGGTACAGGAGGGCTATGGCTTTGGGTCAGGTAAGTAGTTTTTTGCCTGAGATTTTATTGGAAGGGCTTGGTGCATACCCCGTGTTTGTCTTTTCTGCCAACTCTTTGTCTTCTGAACAGATGATCCATACTCAAGTGCAGAGCCGCATGTGTCAGGCATGAAGCGGTAAGTGTGACATTGGAGTAGGTGGTGTAGTACTGGTGTGGTAGGGATGTGTAGGATCTCATAACAAGGTGTATGTACTTACAGGGCGCGCTCTGGTGAGGGAGAAGTAAGTGGCCTCATGCGGAAGGTGCCACGCGTGAGCCTTGAACGCCTGGACCTGGATCTCACTGCTGATAGCCAGCCACCAGTCTTCAAAGTCTTCCCTGGAAGCACCACTGAGGATTACAATCTGATTGTTATTGAGCGTGGTGCTGCTGCAGCAGCTGCTGGTCAGGCTGGGACTGTGCCCCCAGGAGCTCCTGGTGCCCTACCCCTGCCTGGGATGGCCATTGTTAAGGTGAGCCTGTCGTTACAATACAGGGCAGTGATTAGAGAGTGACACCTGTCACCCCAGATTTGGATAACAACACTGTCTTATAGGAAGAAGAAACAGAAGCTGCTATCGGAGCCCCGCCTGCTGTCACTGAGGGTCCTGAGACCAAGCCCGTGTTGATGGCTCTGGGTGAAGGCCCTGGTGCTGAGGGACCCCGCCTGGCTTCACCTAGTGGCAGTACTAGCTCAGGCCTGGAAGTAGTGGCTCCTGAGGGTACCTCAGCCCCAGTAGGTGGACCGGGTATCCTGGATGACAGTGCCACTATCTGCCGTGTCTGCCAGAAGCCAGGTGACCTGGTCATGTGCAACCAGTGTGAATTTTGCTTCCACCTGGATTGCCACCTCCCTGCCCTGCAGGATGTGCCAGGGTAAGTGTGAGGCTGGGCAGGGTCAGATACATCATGGAGGGTTGGTTGTTGTCGTTTACATCTCCTACTCTTGACCCTAGGGAGGAGTGGAGTTGCTCCCTTTGCCACGTGCTCCCTGACCTGAAGGAGGAAGATGGAAGCCTTAGCCTGGATGGAGCAGATAGCACTGGTGTGGTAGCTAAGCTCTCACCAGCCAATCAGCGGGTGAGGGCTGAAGGAATTGATTCATAGGTGTTGGGTGACCCAGTAGCTGAAGTCCTCCTCCATGCTATAACTCTGACATCTCTTGTACTGTCTAGAAATGTGAGCGTGTCCTTCTGGCCCTGTTCTGCCACGAACCCTGCCGCCCTTTGCATCAGCTGGCTACCGATTCTTCATTCTCCATGGTGAGTTCTAGAACAGAGGAGAGGTTAGGGATGCTGAGAGGTAGGTGGTGGGTATCCCCTCTTAAGCCTATATGTTGTCTCTACCTGCAGGAGCAGCCAGGTGGTACCCTAGACCTGACCCTGATACGTGCTCGCCTCCAAGAGAAGCTGTCGCCCCCTTATAGTTCTCCCCAGGAGTTTGCCCAAGATGTGGGTCGCATGTTCAAGCAGTTCAACAAGCTGACTGAGGTGAGCCTGCAGAATGAAGCAGGGCGGGCGCAGGGGGGAGGAAAGCCAGGACTACTCACCACTCTGCTCTTAATTGGCCCAGGACAAGGCGGATGTGCAGTCCATCATCGGCCTGCAGCGCTTCTTTGAGACGCGCATGAATGATGCCTTTGGTGACACCAAGTTTTCTGCTGTGCTGGTAGAACCGCCACCGCTGAACCTTCCCAATGCTAGCCTAAGTTCTCAGGAGCTGTCTGGTGGCCCTGGTGATGGTCCCTGAAGCTGGAGCTCTTGTGGTCAGCCCAGTCAAGCTCTGGTCTTTGTCTTTTCACCCCATACCCCCTCCTTTGGTGGCCTGACTCCTGCTCTTGGTGGCCCTGTCCTTCAGTCCCTCCTCACAAAATGGTTTTTACTTCTGTGGATTTAATAAAAATTTCACCGAGTCGATCATGCCTCAGATGTTTCAGGACTGTTTCCTGAGGACTTATTTTATTTACCATATCAAAACTATCTTTCCCAGGGGACCTTATCTTTTTGGCAGGGTGAAAGATTTGAACACTATCCCTGTGAAACTTGGGTTGAGGTCTTAGATGTAACATGTTCCTCCCACTGGCCAAATAGAAAATCTGGACCTGAAGCTACTCAGATAATCAGCTTGCACTAAAAAGTGGGTTGCATGCTGAGATTCCAGACATTTTTCTTTTTGTCCAACCCTCCTCTCCTCCCAAGACAGGGTCTGGATTTCCTGGAACTCTGTAAAACCAGGCTGGTCTTTAACTCAGATCTGCCTGCCTTTTGTGTTGGGATTAAAGGTTTGCGCTATCACACCTGGCAAAGAATTTGTCCCTTATTGCTTAGGATCCTGACACTAGTTTGTCATTGACGGATGGTTTGGCCAATTGCCAGTTGAGCCCCAGACTACACCCAATTGGGCTGACAGTCACCACCTTTTTTTATCCATTGTCATGTTTTATAGGGCAAACCCTGTTGGGTTGGTAGATTGAGGTCTGCGTTACCAGGATGCTACTAGCCCACTTGGGGTGGTTGGCCTGTAGTCTTAGTGCCAGTTGCTAAGTGTGGGGCTTGTACCTGGTTGAGAACTTGCCTACTTGCCTACTGCCCCAAACTCCAACCTAGAGTTGGGTCCCATTGCCACTAGTCACAAGTTTGGGAAGTCTCACAGCCTTGGGGGAAATTTATGTCCAAATTTCTTTATTTTGGAGGGGACAGGGTGAAAACCCTGGGCATAGAGTCCATCCTTTGGAGGAGAGTTGTTCAGTCCCTGCGAAGGTTCTTGAGCCTCTCTTCCAGGTCTGCATCAGCATCAGCCAGGGCTGAGGCTGTGGCCTCTGCTTTCTTCCCACCAGCAGCCACACTGAGGGAGCCACCAGTGGAGGGGAGGTCTGCAGAGAGAAGTGAGGGTCAAGGGCTGTGGCTGAACTTGGGGTGGGGAAGAAGATGGGTTTGGAACACTCACTTGATAGCTCATCTGTGAGGCTCAGTCCCAGCTCATCCAGGACTTGGGACACAACAGCATCACTAGGAAAGAAGGACAACTCATGAGGGCTATGAATGGGTGAGGGGCCTGGAAAACATCCCTGCCAGACTGTTACTTTCCACACCTCTCCTCTTCGTCTTCCTCATCACCCATGGCATCATCGATGGCGTCATTCATCATTTCTTCCTTCATATCCATGATCTCTGCCTGCCGTTCAAACTCCATCATGATCTTCTGAATCTGGGGTAATTTGAGCTGGAAGAAGGGGGAGGGTGAGTGAGCAGTCGGAAGGTCAATGGGGATGGGAAGGTGGATTGAGAGGGACAAACCTGTCTGTTCATGGTGCCCATGGCCTTAGTAACACCCTTCATGGCTTGTGCCATTGAGTTGTTGGATTTTAGAGTCTGTATCTTGAGGGACACAGCCTGGATGTTGGCCCGCATCAGCACAAACTTGCGTACATATCTCCGGGTACGAACCAGGTCTTTCGCCATGATTCGAACAGCATCCTGCAGTGGATAAAACAATAAACAATGAGTTACACTTTATTTCTGTTGAGATCTAGAAGACTAATGGAAACTAACCCAAGTGATTACTTCAAAAATCTCACCTTCCACTCAGGGGTATCACTCCAGCCATCTATGTAGCCCAGAGTAGCCTACTGGCAATCTGTCCCTGTTTTCCTAATGCTGAGACTACAGACACAGAGGGCCCCTGTATTCAGGCTTGTCTGTAATCTGGTCCTTATATGCAGGAAGGTAGCAGGCCTAGGCTTAGTTCTTATCCCTATTCCCTTTTATATCCAGAGTCACTTCTTAGACTTTCTCAGTTTTAACCCCTAGACTGGACCAGAATCTGCCTTGGGCCAGGGCTTGGATGCTGGTAGAGCCTTGCCTAACATGCACAAAATTCTGTAGTCTAATCCCTGGCACTGAAGAAAACAAAACACCCAACTCTTCCATATGACAGAGCCTATGTATGCCTCACTGTATCTGGAATCACATAAAAAATGCATCCAAAATCCAGCTTCCATTCCCTACTTACATGTTACTGGCACACTGACCAACTGTACACCCGCCCACCTCCCATCCTTAATGGCCTTTGTTTGTTTTCAAGACAGGGTTTCTCTGTGTAGCTTTGGCGCCTTTCCTGGAACTATGTAGCCCAGGCTGGCCTTGTACTCACAGAGATCCACCTGCCTCTGCTTTCCGAGTGCTGGGGTTAAAGGAGTGTGCCACCCACTGCCCAGCTTCTCACTGGCTTTTTTTTTTTTTTTTTTGACAAGGCCAGTTAACACAGGTTCCTTCATCCTGGCTCACACTGCAGCCTCCAATTCTGTTTGGCTCACGGCCACTCTTGTTCTCCCGGTTTGTTATGGCTAACACTTGCTGTTGTCTGCTTGATGCACTCCTTGGCTAGCTTCTCTGCAGGCTCACTCATCGTACTAATGTTAAGGAGTTCCCCAGATACCCCAAACTAGGAAATTCCTGCTTAGCTTTCACTCAGCTTTCTTCAAAGCACACGCCTTTCACTGTCCTTAAAACAGCGGCTGAGATGGCACCTTGCCTTGTTTGTGTCCCGGCCCCTGACCACTTGGCACTCACCATCTGGCCTTGCTTGGCCATCTTTTTGATGTCTGCAATGATTTTCTTTTCTTGGGTTTCTAGCTTCTGCCGCTCCCTGTCCAGCTCCCGCATGGCTCGGTTCAGGGCTCTCTGGTTTTGCCGAAGTAGTTCTTCTGGCGTCTTCCGGCGCCCAAACAACAGGTCCATAGTGGTAGGACTCCACCAGCAGATCTGAGGCAGACGTCAGACCTAGCTGTAGGGTGCAGGGCCCAGGACAGCAAAAGGCAGAAATAGGGTCCTGTCAGTGGTTAGAACCTGGGGACAGGAGGTACGCATGAGCAGTCAAAAAGGATTAGTCAGGGAAGGTCCGAAGTGAGAGCAGCCAGAACTCAAGTTACCCACTTCTCTGGCTCAGGCGCACCCCCTCCGCCCGCCACTGCCCTGCTCTCGCAAACAGTAGGGCAGACTTAAGGGCGTGGTTCTGGAGTATTCCAGGGACCCAGACGTGAGTAGGCACGCCAAGGTGTTTGAGTACTGAGGAGAGGGTGGGTGGTTGCGGGGCCCCTCGTCAAGGGAGGATAGGATGGAGCATGTTCTGAAACCTAGTTAGGTGGAAGTTGGGCCCTAAGGTGAGGTAATGGACCTGAATGATGAGGGCACCTGGCTCGCCGGGTACAAGTGGCCGGCATCTACACCCAGGACGTGACAGAACGGAGGGCAGGTCGTGGGGATGCAGAGGAGCCTGCGTACCGAGGGCAGGCAGAGGTGGGGACCTCGATGACGAGGGCAGGGTCGGGCAGACTGCGCGACATCCGACCCCCTAGCCGAGAAGCCCTCCTACGCTGCCGCCCAACCGGGACCTGCGGCCCAGCAGGGGCCACTCACCGGAGCCGAGAGAGCGATGGGCTTCCGCTTCCGGGTCACGCCCCTTTCTTTCCGAAGCCTTGGGCCCCCACCACCAACAGCCCCTCGGTTCGGTAGCCTCTGCTGCCGCCGCCGCCGTTTCCGGATTAAACGACATGACGTCACACGGCCCACCCTCTCCCGGAATGCTGGGAAGCGGCAGGACGCACGCGCACAGCCAGCAACAACGCGCATGCGCAGAAGACCCCCGCACCTCTGCGGAAGACACAAGTCCCACCCTAGTAACCCTCGCAGGCTCCCAGCAGGATTGCAGCAGAACCGGCACCGGCCTATTCGTTCCGGAAGGCCCATACTCGACCCTCCTTTGGGCGGTTCATTCATGGAATCTTAGCAAGTGCCTGGCAGGGGCCAAATCGGCGGGCCCAGTCATGGCATAGAGGGGCAAGCCTGGAGATGACTTGTAGGCTCGCTTATGTCGGTGTAAAGGCCAGGGACTGAAATTAGCCGATTCTTTGCATTGCTTGCTCCTCATCTCAGTGAGTGCTCCCACTCAACCCAAGGCCACAGTGGCTACACACACACTCACTCATCTTCATCACGGACGATGGTGGACCTCACCTGTCCCTCCCCTCCCCCCCCCCCCACAGAAGGAAGAGGCAGAGGCCATGCAGTAACATTCCCCTTTAATAGCCTGGTGGGACCTCCAGTGGTGGTGGGGTGGGTTGCCTGGGCCCAGCGACCCAGGACCATTGCCCACTTACCCCACAGTCAAGAGTGGGGGTGTTGGACAGCACCCAGCGGGAGGGGGGGGCGCTAAACAAGCCAATTCATTTCCCATCGCTGAGCAGGTCGGGAGGAGGCAGCACCGACCATAATCACGTGGTGGTTAAAAAAAAATAACTAGGGGCAGGTGACAGGGAGGGGAGGCAAGGCCAAGGCAGGGGCCAAGGCTACCCCACACACCCTACCCGGGCCCCCAATAAATATTTGCAGGGGATGCCTGGGCTGGTAACCCCGGCAGGGATGGGTATTTGCTAACCCTATTTCAGGCAGCGCTCGAAGTAGGTGGACCCGATGTAACCACCTCTCATGGAGCGCTGCACGTTTTGTTCAAACAGCCGCCGGTTGTTCTGCAGGACTTCGGCAGCCTCCTTGTTCAGTGGGTCCTCGGGGTTGGGCTCCTGGGGCCAGTACAAGCGGAAGTTAATCAGGCAAGAGAGGCAGACGGCCAACAAACCCTCAGCCTCCAATGCCTATCCCTACTCACCAAGAAGAGATACTGCAGGCCATAAATTATGGAGTTTATCGTCAGGACTGGCTTCCAGTCCTCTCTGTGGGCAGAGAGCATCAAGGTTATCATGGGTTGGTGAGTGGGAGCTGCCACTGGCCCTGCTAGTACCAAACAGGTCAGGCCCACAGGAGACCCACAACACTGAAGAGTGAGATGTGAGAAAGGGGTAAGATATGGAACAGGGCAGGCCATGGAGAAAGCCAAGGCCAGGCTATCAAGAAGACAACCTGGAAATGAAAAGACAGAGGACCACAGACCATAAAGGGGAGGGAGGGACAGAGATGGGTGCGGCATCCACAAAAGAGCCAAGAGGACGCATGGAAGGCAGGCCTTGAGAGGGAAAGGGAAGGCAGTGCCATCACCTGAGGATGTTGAGGCAGACGTTGCCCTCGAGGTCAATGTTGGGATGATAAACCATTGTCTCACACTTCACCTTGGGGGGGTCATGTGGGTAACCTTGTCCCACCTGGCCCCAGAAAAAGAGAAATGTAGGTTTTTTGGGCTATGCATCATCAGCTGCTGCTGCTTCTCCACAGAGCCGCCTCTGTCCACTCGGGACTCACCTTAAAACTGAACACAAACTTCCCACTCTTGTAGAAGCCCTGGGGAAGGAAGGGGAGAATGAATTAGGGTTCCCTGTTCCCTATGGGGCTACCCCTGGGGTCTGTTCTTGGGAACCCCTGCCATGCTCATTTGACTCTTACCTCATCAGGACAGATAACCAGCTTGAAGTTGAGGAGGTCGTCTGGGTCTGAGAAGCTGATGTCACAAGTCTTGGGCAGGTTCAGCTCGTTAATGTCTAGATTTGGGCAGCAGACAGAGGGAGAGAAAACAGGTGAAAGGAAGGAGGTAGGTCTGGGCAGGTGTCAGCAAATCCTCAAGTACTCCTGGACCCGTGAGCTCGGTTGTGTGGTGTGCTCCACATCTCTCAGTCCGTACTATATATATATTCTTCCCCACTTTTCAGTCTCTGCACGGACTCTTCCGGATACACAGTATCCCACATACAAGCATCTTCAGTTGGAACTGGATGCCCATCTCTTGGGAAAGGGCAAACCCTTATTATCTCCCTAGACCCCCCCACCAGAAGTTCCCACCACACAGTCCCCAAGAACCCCTGCTCCCATAATCCTGGTTTTCAAGAGCCCCTGAGCACCCTAAACCCGAGGCTCTCTAGTCATGATCTCTATCCACTCTGTTTATGTCCATCCTAATTCAAGGACCATGACCCTTCTTCAAACACTAAATCATCCCTTTTCATCAACTATCTAGCTTCCACTGGCCTTCCTCTTCTCCGGGTTATTCCACGCCCCGGTTCCCATCTGACTCCCGAGACTTCAAGCATGGAGCTTACTTAAATTGATCCCTCCTCACTCCCATTTCTTAGCCCTTGTCACCTTTCTTCCTCTCTCCCCCTCACCGCAAACTCAAAACTGCTCTGCCCGACTCCTGAGTCCTGGGCTACAAGACCCCAAAAGAACACACGAAACCGTTTCCTACTTATCTCCAACTCACAACCTTCACCTTATCTTCAAGGCCCGTCACCCCAAAGCAAAGTTCCCGTCCGGCTCTCAAACTATCCCCCTCCCCTAACAGATTCCGGGCCCCTAACAATCCAGGCCTTGGTATCCCAACGCCCCACACCCGGCCCCAATCTCTGACCCTCCCCAGTGACCGCACCCCCGTCCCGCATCACAGCCCTCGGACCCCGACTTCCGATACCCCTCCTCAGCGGCTGCATTTTCACACCCCGGCCCCAGACCTCGAACGCGGGGTCCCGACCCCCTACCCTTCTGGATCCGGAGCTGCGCCGCCGACGCCTTCTTGCTGCTGCCCTTGGTGCCGCCGGCCGACTCCTCCTCCTTCTTCTGCTGCTTCAGCGAGAACAGCTTGATCATCCTGCCGC